CCTCTCTCTCTGTCCCTCCCCCACTCACACTCTGTCTCTCTCTCACTCTCAAAAATAAATAAACATTAAAAAAAATTTTTTAATGATAATAAACAATTCACTTTCATAACAAAAGTTAATGGGGACAAAATTAATTCATCAGAAAAAATCAAAGTCTTATTCATGACTGGAATTATTCTAATAGCTTTCTAAAAATGATAGTCAGTCATAATAATAATAATAATATAATAATAATAAACTAATAATAAACTAGCAAAGCGGCAATCTCTTTCATCAAGGGGATTATAGTCTCATAGTAGGAAGAGACACTTGCAAGCAATTGCTCTATAATTATAGTAACATAGAATAATCAGTATAATGAAGCAATGTATGACACATAGAAGCAGCAACCACGTGGGCTTAAGGCATCGGAGATAACTTCACAGAGGAGGGAATGTTTAAAGAGAGCCTTAAAGATTAAGGAGGGCCATAAACAGATGATGAGAAGAAAGATTATCCTAGAAAAGGAAAAGAAAGCGAGCTAAGCACAGAGCAACAAGAAACCAGAGTGTTCAGAGAGTGAGTCGGTATTAATACATGAAAAGAAGATGAGAGAAGAAATAGCCGCTGGGGTGGCTCAGTTGGTTAAGCATCTGACTTAGCTCAAGTCATGATCTCATGATTCATGAGTTCAAGCCCCATGTCGGGTTCTGTGCTGACAGTTCAGAGCCTGGAGCCTGCTTCAGATTCTGTGTCTCCCTCTCTCTCTGCCCCTCCCCCACTCACCCTCTGTCTCTGTTTCTGTTTCAAAAATAAACATTAAAAACTATTTTTTAAAAAAAAGAAGAAACAGGAAAAACAAAACTGTAAAAGAATAGGGCTGGGCATAAGAACTTTGTATACCATGAAAGGGGCTGTAAATTTTATTCTGTAGAATGTCAATGTATTTTGACGTCTAAGGTATTTATGTCTTGTGCTTTTAATTAATACTCAATTCATTAAATTTAATAAGGCAAAAGTCTAATTTATTTTAGGTACTTAAGTTCACATAATATAACTTGCTATCTTATTTATACATCTAGTAATTTTTATTTAATAAGAACAATTACTTTCAGGGGGATCATTGATTAATGATTAGACAACTCAGGTTAAATTCTTTCAAATGGATACTTACGTTAAAAAATTTACTTTTAATTACCCCCTTACATGTTTTACGTTGCATGGATAAATCTATATATTGAATTTTTTTAAGCATTTGAAAAACCTGACTGAACAAATTTAATAACTGCAAATCCTCTCAAGAACTTAAGTGACTCTTACAAATCTGTTAAAGCACATCCAGTTCTCTTAAATGTTCACTTGTATTTTCTATGGGATTTTTCTTATATTTTTTAAGAAGCATATTTAGTTTGAAAAAATTTATAAAAGGTGAATATGTAAAAGGCAGAGAGAAGAGTAAACTGAACCTCCATGTCCCCTACACCAACTTCAACAATTATAAATTTATCACTAGTCTTGTTTCATCAATACCCCTACCCACTTCCCTCTTTCATATTATTTTTAAGCTAATACCAAATATTCATAAATATTTTAGTAGGTATCCCTAAAAATTAGACTTAAAAAAAATAAAATAAAATAAAAATTAGACTTTATATAATAATATAAAAATCAAGTCCATGTTCAAATTTCCAGTTGTCTCTTAAATTGAGTGTGTGTATGGTTTTTTAAATTTGTTTGAAGAAGAATCCATATAAAGTCTGCACGTTTTCATTGGCTTATACATTGGTAATTCTCTTTGAAGCTACAAGTCTACCCTCTATAACTATATTTATCTATTTATTGCAATTTATTTGTTGAAGAAATCAAGCTCTTTGAGGGGACTATAATTATCCATAGTCTAGATCTTGCTGAATGCTTTCCTATAGTTTAGCTTGTATGTTCCTCTATTTCCTATAAATTGGTAGTTGGAGGTAAAGGTAGCTTGACCAAATTTAGTTCTAGTTTCTTTGATCAGATTACTTCCTAGGTGATGGTATATTCTTTTATCAGGAGGCTGTAAAGTCTGGTTGACTCTCCTTTTTTGTTACGAGAAGCCATTGACACTCAATATTGACACAAAGAATCCATACTTTTCAACTACACTAAAAAGTCTAAATAACAAGTTTTAGTTTGACACATCTAATTAAATATTTGCTAGTGTAATAAATCTCTTAAATATTACAAACATTTAAAATATTGAACACTGGGGCACCTGGGTGGCTCAGTCGGTTGGCAATCTGATATCAGCTCAGGTCATGATCTCACGGTTTGTGAGTTTGAGCCCCATGTTGGGCTCTGCAGTGACAGCTCGGAGCCTGGAGCCTGCTTAGGATTCTGTGTCTTTCTCTCTCTGCCCCTCCCCTGCTTGTGTTCTCTCCTCTCTCTCTCTCAAAAATAAATAAACATTTGTAAGTAAGTAAGTAAATAAATAAATAAATAAATAATATTGAACACAGTAGGTTCATTGTCCCCATGACTATAAAACTTGTTTCACAAATTTTTGTACCACGGGTTTGACTTACTTCATCATTTCCGTATTTTATTCTGAATTTTTCAAGGACCAAAAAAAATCACTAAGGGAAACAAGTGTCTTGTCATCATCAAGTTAATGAATTGATTAATTGGGCCTTTACACTTAACCTAAATTAAAAGCTAAGCATATATAAGTTAAATTTTTAAATTTCAATTTGTTTAAAAAGTAAGTGTATTGGATCAACAATCGATGACCACATATGTTTACCATCCCGGGTAGAGACTGAGACACATATCTATGGCAATTCTTCCTGAGCCTCAAGTGTGCCCACCGAGCTTGTTTGATGATCTAAGGGATAATGAGGCATTTCCAGCCCAGATTCTTCAATGGGGTTGGCTTTGTAACCAGCATCTTTTGGGTTCTTTAAGTGGCTTGAGTAGTGAACATGAGAGTGATATAATCACATTTGCATTAGAAAATGTTGGCAGTGGTGTGGAGAAGGGACTGTAAGGATGGAGAAGATGGAGAGCAATGCTCATCACTGGAAGCCAAGGCAGATGGCTACTGCAAGAGTCCACACTAGAGATAATAGAACTCTCTTCTCCTGTCTACCAGGAAAGAGGAGAGAGATGGAGAGTGGGGCCATGAATTAGAGGAGACATTAAATATGTGGAACTGACAGAACATGATTAACTTGGTGAGGGACTGAAGAAGAGTGAGCAAGAGGATGCCTTTAAGGCTTAGGTGGATATGTGGAACTGTGGTGCCATTCACTAAGATAAGAAACCTAGTAGGAAAAACAGGTTTGTGCTGGGACAGAAGAGGAAAGCCTCTGTTTCTGCGATGTTAATGTAGCACTGGCTGTGGAATATCCAAGATGTGTGTATGTGAGTCTGAAACTCAGAAGAGAGGCCTGCCCTGGAGATGTCAATACGGAAGTCACCAACACTAAGAGAACAAGTGCAGCTGTGGGCATATATGAGGCCATTCGGGGACAGGGGTAGAGTGGAAAAAGAAAGGAAACCAAGACCAGAACACAAAGGAATATCATCACTTAAAGGGGGAAGTCAGAGGCAAGTAAACCCACAAAGGAAATTGTGGGATGGTGGTTAGAAACACAAGTAAGCCAGGAGAGATCTCTTACGGAAACAAAAGAGACTCCAGGAAAGCAAAATGGCCAATACTGTTAAGGGCCACAAAGTAATCATGTAAGATTATCATGGAGAGGTATCCAGTGGATTTGGTAAGTAAGTTCTTTAAGAGTGGTTTCAGCGAAGGATTGGCAAAAGAAGCCAGAGGGTAGTCATGAAGAAATGAGCAAGAGAAAAAGAAGTCAAGTCTGTGAGCCCATACAGCCTTCTCCATGTTGGCTGGGAAAGAGAGGACTATCTGTATCTGTGGTAATGTGGAGAATTGAGAAAGGTAAAGAGAAGATTTTGGACTTTATGAATGAGAGTAACTGGGGCTGAGAGAGAAAGCAAAGTATGAGATATTTAGGAATGGGAAGTGAAAGTAGAGGAATAGTAATAATAATATAAAAGATACAATGACACACAGAAGAAAGAAATGGGGCAAAACACTGATAATTTAGATAGAATTCAGAACACAGGTGGAAGGAACTTTGGTAGATAGAAGGTAAGCAAAAGTTGGGTTAAAGGAATATATTTTCTTAAGAATATATTTTCTAAAGAGAATATATTTTCTTGCTCTATTATCTGTGAAATAAGAAACAAGATCATCTGGTTATAGGGGAGGTGAGAGGGACAGGAGATTTGAGGAAAGTAGTGACGGTTTTGAATAGCCTTTGAGAAGGATGATGGGAAAGAAGGTTCATTAGGAAAAGGTATATGAAATTACAGAAGAGTGTTGAGGATAAAGTTGAGATCAAATGTCAATTATTTGTAATATCCAGAATCAGTGAAATGGCAATTTTCTCCGGCTGTGCTAATCAACCTGAGCATAAAAAATAGAAAATATAGATGGTTCCGTCAATCATTAGGGATTTGTGGGGCCCAGGTACTGATAACTGTGAAGAGCAATTGGAGTGCAGTGGCACTTAGAGTCCAAGACACAAATGATGGAAGTAAAGCCAGAAGGAGAACCTCTGGAAAGAAGGAGTCAAGGATTAGAACTGATTCTCTTTGGCATCTATACCATAAAACCAATCAAATGCCTTCAGAATCCCAGAATTGAATTATTTATATACTTCCATTTTAACAGAAGACATATTACTACCCTGAGGCAATGGATTGATTATATGTGTCCACTGTGAATGGACAGAACTGTCCTCAAGCTCCCCTATTCTCTCTTTTTTTTTTTTTTTTGCCTCAGTAGCAGCATAAACATGAGGCTAAAGCCCATTCTAATAACTTCTGAAGTTTTAAATCAGAGCAGAAGTTAAAGACAAAAGAATAATTTAAAATATGATCCTTTTAGTCTTTTTCCTTTTTCATTGTACGGCAAGCATCTATTTGCTCCATTTTTACTTTTTCTTCTTTCTTGTTTTCAGAAGCGCTGTACATGAAGAAAATCAAGATAGTGTCATGCACTCTGATGGTAAGAGGCACAAAGATATTTTATTTATTTATTTGTTACCTCAGATACAGAAGTGTGAGTTAATCATTTGGATAGGATCATTATTGGGCCATTGTCATCACTGGTCCCTGCAAAACCACTCTCTTGTTTTACTTATGTGTGTATTCTGTTTTATCTCCATGATCCCTTCCCTTTCCTCTGCTTCCCTTACCAGAGACAAATATTTTAATACATTTAATGTGTGTGTGTGTCTGTTTGTACATATTCTTTGCATACTTTGTATGTGTGTATATATTTGAATTTACATAAACAGTATGTTAGAACTCACTCTGCTCTTTTTTTTACACTCAGCATAATATGTTTTATGGGTCCCACCCATGTTGCTATATGTATATTTAATTTGTTAACTACTGTATAGTACTCCATGGTATGTATCCTATGCATTTTCATTTTACTTCCAGTTCACTGGTACTTACAAATAATAATTCAGTGTACATTCTGGTCCATATTTCCATGTGGACCTCCAAGAGACTTTCTTTAAAGTATATATATCCAGTAGTGGAATGGCTGTTTGTAAGCTATGGAATATTCATGGAATATTCTAGTACTATGGAATTAGGAGTAGAGTGCTCTCCAGAAAAGCTGCATCTGTGTGTACTCACATCAGCAGGGCATGAAGATTCCAAGATGCCTGCCTTTCACCAGTGCCTGGTATTATTTAGCTTTCCAATTGTTTTGAGTCTTATATGTATAAAATAATATCTCACTTCATTTTCATGTCTCTGCTTGCAGTTGAGTCTGGGTACTTCAGTTGTGTATTAGCCTTTGTGTTTTCCTCTTCTGTAACTTGCCACTTCATATCCTTTGACCACTTTTTTCTTCGAGTTGGTATCCTTTCCCGGCTGACTTTCAGGAGCTCCTCTGTATTTCAGATATTAATCTCATGTCGGTTGCAGAAATTGCAACTATCTTCTCTCATCCTATCCATGGTCAATTAACCCAAGCTTCCCATCACCGAACATAAATAAATTTTGATATAATCAAATTAATTAAACTCTGCATTGTAATTTGTTTTCAAGTTTTACTTAAGTAGTCCTATCGCTAAAAAATAAAACTATTATCTTCCTCTTTCTTCTATGAACTTTATCCCTTATATTTGAGTCTTTTCTCCTTATATTTGCAGAGTACCCTTGAGGAATTAGTAGAAATCCAGATTTATTGCCTCACCTAGGGAACCATTTTTCCCATTACCATATTTCGAAATCCATCATTTTCTCAATAATTTCTAATGCCATCTTTATACTCCATTAACTCTACAGCTGTATATATGTCTATCCATGTATGTGTGTGTATTTGTGTGGGCGATACATGTGTATGAAAGAGTATACGTAAATTTATGCATCCGTCTCTGAGTTTTCTGCTGTTTTTCATTGGTCTATGTGTTTCTGTACCAACCCCACACTGTTTTTATTATTGTTGCTCTAGATTATATCTTAATATCTAATAATTAGGTGATACTACTAAACACTTGGATAGTAAAGGATCTTTTTTAAAAAAATTAACTTTGGGGCACCTAAATGGCTCAGTGGGTTAAGCGCGCATCCTACTTCGGCTCAGGTCATGATCTCATGGTGGGCTTGAGCCCTGCATCGGGCTCTGTGCTGACAGCTCAGAGCCTGGAGCCTGAAGCCTGCTTCCGATTCTGTGTCTCCCTCTCTCTCTGCCCCTCCCCTGCTTGTGCTCTGTCTCTTTCTCTCTCTCTCAAAAATAAGTAAACATTAAAAAGAAGAAGAAGAAGAAGAAGCAACTATCAGTTTAAAAAAAAACTTAATTAACTTTATTTGCTTGATACATGGAAACAAATCCTTGGGAACAAATAAGTCAAAAAGAACAAACCAGCTGTGATTTTCTGGTAATACCTTTGTTCCACATTAGCCCACAAAACCAAATGTGCATGCCTTTCACAAAGAGGTTAAAATGTCTTCATTATTTTTTGGCTTTTGCGTTATTTTATGAAAGCCAATGAAATGGTTTTACAATGAAATTACAAGTATCAAAGAGGCCATAGTAAAGATCTAATCCACATATTCTATTTTGTACTTCTATGTGTTTTATAGAGCATAAGTTCTGTTAGATTATGAACAGTTTTGGATAGATTATGTCTAATAATTCTGTAGTAAACTGCTTTTTAATTAAAGTATATTGAATTTTATTCTTTTTTTAAAACCTTTTAGGTACTGGAAACCTAGATGAGGTCAGTTTTTTTTCCCCCTTCTTATATTATATTGCTTAACTAAAATATTTAACCATTCCTGTAATTTATGTTCTATTGATATAAACCAGCAAATCAAAATTGTTATGGGTAATAACGATATTTTTCAATGTATAATATTACTTCATCTAAAATTCTTGGGACATTAAACACCAAACATTACATTGACTCACAGTAATTTTGTAGCACTGAACGTAAACTTAAGTCTGGCTGGACATCTGAATTATATAGCAGAATATAAAATAAGATCTTTTTGTGCTTACTTTTCCAGTGTATCTCTTTAAGGGAAAAAATATTTTAAGCAAGACAAATTTACATACACTTACATTTATGATTGTTTTACTAGGTATTTGATCAATGTAATATGTGTATGTTCCCTTTTTTAGGAATTAAAATTAATCATTATTAATGTTTTTCTTGGCAGGAACAAGAGAGTGAAGGAGAAACCTATGAAGACATGTATGGGTTACATTTTTTTACCATGATTTTTCTGCCTAAAATGAATATTATGATTTGTATGAGGGAGAATAGATGGATATTCAACACTAAGGGGAAAAAGCTTTATTGTTCAAATGACTGGCATATAATGATAACCTTTATTTCAATACAAAGGACTAAAGATTCTTTATTTGCCTAAGAATTTCATGGAAGACTCTTAAAAATGTTGTTCTGTGAGAGGCCAGAGACTCGCAGCTACTGGATAGACCACAGGCAGGGAATCTGTACTTCTTGTGCTCAGTGTGTCCTTGGGCAAATGAATTCATTTGTATGTTACAACTCCCCCATCGAGGCAGTGCTCCACCTCACCAGGGTGCTCTGAGAAATAATTTACCACAACATCAGATGGCAAAGTGTCAACCTGCTACAGCAGAAAGATGTTTAAAAGAATAGCTCCAAAACAGGCTTCCCCATAGCCCAGGACTAAGAAATGTCTTGGAAAGTGAGTGAAAGGAGAAAGAAATATGTTATTTTCTCTCTTGTTGATTCAAATGTCTTAATTTGCTCTACCTAGTTCTTAAGCAGTGAATTCTGACTAAAGTTTCTGAGCTAAGGTTTGCAGGTATGTACATGTGCATGCCCTGTACCTGGGAGTGCATGCATGTGAAGGGGTGGGGGCGGAGATCAATTCTATTCATGCCCATATGCAGGAAGAACAGGGTCTTTATATATACGCAGTGTCTTCCGCTTGCTGGCACAGGGTGTAAGTGGAAACAGAGCCTTTGGCAGGTATCCCCACTTGTATGCCTCCTACTGGTTTTAAGAACAATCTCACACGCTCAGTAATTTTGACAACTCCTGGCTTTTCACCTTCATCTATACTTGAGATACTGTCTCCTGGATATGTGAGCCATAACACATCAATGCTCGCAAGTGCCAAAACAACTTAACAATTTTTATCCACAGAGAAGCAACCAAAGAAAGAGAGAAAAAAAGGGAAAAGGAGGAAAAGAAGAGATTAGAACTGGAGAAAAAGGAACAGAAAGAGCGAGAAAAGAAAGAACAAGAAATAAAGAAGAAATTTAAAGTAAGAGCTTGCTTGCCGATGGGTAAAAAAAGAGTGATCTCTATGATTTTCACGCAAAAGGGGCACCACACCATTCTTGAAAACTTACATGGTGGAAGAATTACTTAGTTATTGTTTCCTTAAAAAGTAACTACCTTCATAACAGTAATTATCTTACCCAATATGCCTCCTTATCCCTGCACTAAAAATGTAATATGATAAAATATGGTGGCTTATGATTAGTGGGCACCCAGGAAATTTTCTGTTGATTGAGTGAGTGAATACTCATTGCTCAAACACTTCTTGACTCTCAAGATTTCATATTTGTTATTAACCTACTTATACTATGAGCTTGGACCACACACGTAAGCATCCTTGAGGCAGGTATCACAATGGTATAAGGGACGTAAATGTCTCTGGATGAACCAGACCTGTCTCAGAATAAAGTTTCTATGAACTACTCCCACTGCTGGTATCTAGACCTGACTTACATTTTTGCCTTTATTTCTAGCTTATGTACTTGTTGACTTCGGATACCCGCTATTTCCCATCCCTCTTTTCCCACCTAGATTTCTGACCTCTTTCTTTTTGGACCCCTGATTTCTAATTTCTACCACCATCACTAAGCTTGTAGGCTATCCTCTTTTGGCTACACCGTCTTTGATGACATGGCCCATCTGGCATGGGTCTGGTGTGTCAGCTATATTTAAGGTGACTGTATTACCGAACTATTCTTCACTATAAAAAAGACTCATGTCAAGGTTCTTTTAAACTTTTAATTCCCCTAGAACATTTAATATATGGTTTCAGCTATAAAAATTTTGATTTCTATATAACTCCCCAGTATATTTGTTGCATTAAAAGAAAGGTTCAACAGCATGGTGCAAGAAAAACATAAAGCAGCTTAGAGTCAAGTGGACAGATGTGGATTCAAATTCCAGTTGTACATGTGAGTTATGTGATTGTGGGCATATTATTAAACTTGTTTGAATCTCAGATTCTTATGTCTTTGAATCTCAGATTCTGATTCTTAGAATAAATGGTATCTCTCCTGAAAGTTTGTTGTGGAATTAAATAAAATAATGTACATAAGGCACTATATCTACCAAAGTTCTCATTAAATTTTGAAAAAGACTACTATATATAAGTAAAATTAGGTATGAATAAATATGAATGTTAAGACATTTAACTCATACAGACGTATGGGTACCAATGTTCACATTTTCCAAGTGGCGAATATGAAAAATTAATTTCTTAAAAAAAAGTCTTCATAACAGGGGCACTTGCGTGGCTCAGTCAGTTAAGTGTCTGACTCTTGCTTTCAGGTCAGGTAATGATCTCAGTTTGTGAGTTACAGCCCCACGTTGGACTCTGTGCTGACAGTGCAGAGCCTGCTTGGGATTCTCTCTGTCCTTCTCTCTCTACCGTTCCCCCCCCGCCAAAATAAATAAATAAACTTAAACAATTTTTCATAACACATTTTTAGGAAGGTACTTTGTAATTTTGAAAGAGTTACGTGAAGTTTTTTCTTGTGTTTCCTTTGGAGAAATCAATTTTGCATTGTTTCACTCATTCACTCAAATAAAATTTCTTAGTAAGAAAAAATACAGTATGGAAATCATACCACTAAAATATGAATTCAAAGTTTGTAAAGACTAGGACTTCACAAGCTATATTCCTTCCACAAAAATGTTAATACATGCTAAAATTAAAGAAATTAGGGGCGCCTGGGTGGCGCAGTCGGTTAAGCGTCCGACTTCAGCCAGGTCACAATCTCGCGGTCCGTGAGTTCGAGGCCCGCGTCGGGCTCTGGGCTGATGGCTCAGAGCCTGGAGCCTGTTTCCAATTCTGTGTCTCCCTCTCTCTCTGCCCCTCCCCCGTTCATGCTCTGTCTCTCTCTGTCCCAAAACTAAATAAACGTTGAAAAAAAAAATTAAAAAAAAAATAAATAAATAAAAGAAAAAAAAATAAATAAATAAAATTAAAGGAATTAAATGTGAGAACTGTTACACAGCACCATATTTCATTAATTCTAAAGTATAAAATATTTCACATTTTAAAATTCTGAAATAATGCATCTTATCATTGGTGTAACATAATTTAAATTAAGCTGTTTCTGGGGCGCCTGGGTGGTGCAGTCGGTTAAGCGTCCGACTTCAGCCAGGTCACGATCTTGCGGTCTGTGAGTTCGAGCCCCGCGTCGGGCTCTGGGCTGATGGCTCAGAGCCTGGAGCCTGTTTCCAATTCTGTGTCTTCCTCTCTCTCTGCCCCTCCCCTGTTCATGCTCTGTCTCTCTCTGTCCCAAAAATAAATAAACGTTGAAAAAAAAAATAAATTAAAAAAAAATAAATAAATTAAGCTGTTTCTCAGTGATATGTAATTGATGATATGTCTCACAATTCATAGCATCATGAGTTCAATAAAACGAGGCAGAACTTCAAAAATCACAATGCATATTTGCATATCGAAAGATCTAAGAAATTATGTTGGAAAGATACACATTTAGGATTAGGAGCTTAGGACTCATGTTCTAAACTAGATTACAGTAGTTCGTCTTATCCAAGGGGATACATTTCCAGACCCCCAGTGGATGCCTGAAAACATGGATAGTACTGACCTCTATATATACTATGTTTTTTCCTACACACATATACCTATGATAAAGCTCAATTTATAAGTTAGGCACAGGAAGAAAGGAACAATAACTAACAATAAAATAGAACAATTGTAACACTCTCCTGTAGTGAAAGTTATTGAATGTGGTCCATCTGCTTCTCTCAAAATATCTTACTGTCCTCCACTCACCCTTCTTATGACGATGTGAGACAATAAAATTCCCACTTGATGAGATGAAGTGAGGTGAATGACTTAGGCGTTATGACATAGCATTAGGCCACTACTGATCTTCTGACAGTAGGCCAGAGGGCAATCATCTGTTTCTAGACCATGGTGCACCATGGGTGGCTGAAACCCCAGAAAATGTAACCACAGACAAGGGAGGAGTACTGCGTTCTGCTGTGAAGAAACCACTATACTATCCAGTATATTAAGTTGAAAAACCTCACGTAACAGGGGCATCTGGGTGGCTCAGTCAGTGAAGTGTCCGACTCTTGATTTTTGGTCAGGTCACGATCTCACGAGTTCCTGGGATTGAACCATGCTTTGAGCTCTGTGCTAACAGTGTGGAGCCTGCTTGGGATTTTCTCTGTCTTCCCTGCTCATGCTTGTACTCTCTCTCTCTCTCCCTCCCCCCCTTTCAAAAATAAATAGATAAACATTTTAAAAAGTAAACTAATAAAAAGTTAAAACTCCACATAACACTTGTTTGCTATTTTTTATTTACAAAGCTATTTCTAGAATGTTATCTTGTTTATAGCAGGTAATGTCTACTCTAAGTTTATAGACAGACAACACCACAAGGTGAAAGAAAGAAAGAAAAAGAAAATGCTTTTCCCATAAGTGTAGCCCACAACCACTCACCATCTTCCCTTCCCTTTGCTGTTTGAAGCCTGAAAATAACCATCAGAATAACTACACAATGCAAACATGGAAAAACCTCCATCTACCAAGCAGACCACCATCATATCCCATAAAAACCATGGCATCCAGTGCGTATTGTCTTACATAAATCGTATTCCGTTATTAGTGGCTTCCTCTGCAAGCCTTTCACAGATTTCTAAGGTCGACAGATGACTGCTACTCTCTCCTGGACCCCAAGCACATGCTTACCTGTTCTTTGCTGATTCTGCCTCCCCACTGTGATTTTCCCCTACCACGTCTTCTAAGAACATTCGTTAGATGATATTCACCTTCAGTGTCTAACTCAAACCATAAATGTTGTAAATAGGCTGGTCGGCAAGTTGCTTTCAAAACTCCATTCCTAAAAGATTTTCCGAAGAGTAAGGAAGCCTATTGTGATGTCCCCCCTTCTTTGCAGCTAACAGGCCCTATTCAAGTCATCCATCAAGCAAAAGCTTGCTGTGATGTCAAAGGAGGAAAGAATGAACTGAGCTTCAAGCAAGGAGAGCAAATTGAAATAATCCGCATCACAGACAACCCTGAAGGAAAATGGCTGGGCAGAACCGCCAGGGGGTCATGTGAGTACAAATTTTCCTATGACCTCTCCAAATGTTGTTGTTGTTGTTTTCTTTTTTTAAGACATTCAGTTAAGTTAGGAGTATTTTACAGGGTGGACAAAAATAGGAAGATTGAAAACGACATTGACATATCTTCATTTCATCTGCATTGTCTTTTTACTGGGGAACAGTGTAAATATTTGTTTTATTCCAAGGAGAAACAAAGGGCATTGGGTTCCTCACTGATGTTAAAAGGTGAAAAAATGAGTCCTGTGAGTCACTGTGGAATCTTTAAAATAGACTCTAGGCTTATCCCAAACCACAACAGCGTAAGACTTTGACGAAGTCCAGTCAAGTGTGTCTGCGTCGGAAGTCTATAAATCAGGAGTCAAGCAAAGAAATGAAGGGAAAGATGTGCAGATGTGCAATTGATATTCTGTCTACAACTCTGAGATATTGAAACTACAGTGCCTGACAATAAATCCTTCTTCCTCTCGGTAGACGGCTATATTAAAACAACTGCCGTGGAGATTGACTACGACTCCCTGAGGCTGAAGAAAAGTTCTCTCGGTGCTCTTTCATCAAGACCGATTGGAGATGACCAGGAGGTTTATGATGATGTCGCAGAGCAGGATGATATTAGCAGGTATGGACAAATACAAATTCTAAAACATATCAGATTGCTGGCTCGTCAGAGATGGTGTATTTTAAGATCCTAAAATTTTACCTTCCGCGTCTCTTACTGCTTGCTACCCCTGAATACCCTTTTACAGCTACAGGTATTCCAATAGGGGTGAAAGTTCATTTAAAATTCTGTAGTCTTTCGGCGCCTGGGTGGCTCAGTCGGTTGAACGACCACTTTGGCTCAGGCCATGATCTCATGGTTTGTGAGTTCGAGCCCCGCATTGGGCTCTGTGCTGACAGCTCAGAGTCTGGAGCCTGCTTCTGGTTTTGTGTCTCCCTCTCTCTCTGTCCCTCCCCTGCTCATGCTCTGTCTCTGTCTCAGAAATAAATAAATATTAAAAAAAATTTAAAACTCTGTAGTCTTTTACTTTACTCTTTGGTTGTATGTATCAAATACTACTTAAAAAAGAATAGTCCATTTGCCAGGTCTTGCCAAATGTGTTAGCATTCCAAAATGCTGTTTAATAATAATCATTCTGATTTGATCTTAGGGCTATGCCTAAAGTAAATATGATTTCATAAAAACATGAAGCATGTGGGGCGCCTGGGTGGCGCAGTCGGTTAAGCGTCCGACTTCGGCCAGGTCACGATCTCATGGTCCGTGAGTTCGAGCCCCGCGTCAGGCTCTGGGCTGATGGCTCAGAGCCTGGAGCCTGTTTCCGATTCTGTGTCTTCCTCTCTCTCTGCCCCTCCCCTGTTCATGCTCTGTCTCTCTCTGTCCCAAAAATAAATAAACGTTGGAAAAAAAAAATTAAAAAAAAAAAAAAAAACATGAAGCATGAGATATAAAATTCAACTCTAAAAATATAAAAATATTTGCTCGGAAATCCCTGAGTCTAAATGTATTTGTTGTTCTTATTTGAAAACATAACAGAAAAAAAAAATGAATTTTAATACACCTCTACTTTGCTCTTTATTTTTAAAAAAAAACGTTTTTTGCATTTATTTATTTTTGAGAGACAGAGAGAGACACCATGAGCAGGGGAGGGGCAGAGAGAGAGAGGGAGACACAGAATCAGAAGCAGGCTCCAGGTCCGAGCTGTCAGCACAGAGACCCAGTGCGGGGCACAAACCCACGAACCCTAAGATCATGACCCGAGCCTAAGTCGGACGCTTAACCGACTAAGCCACCCAGGCACCCCCGTACTTTGCTCTTTAAACATAAAAAAGTAAGGGGTGCCTGGGTGGCTTAGTCGGTTGAGCGGCCAACTTCGACTCAGGTCATAATCTCATGGTTCCTGACTTTGAGTCCCACGACGGGCTCTGTGCTGACATCTTAGAGCCTGGAGCCTGCTTCGGATTCTGTGTCTCTCCCTCTCTCTGCCCGTCCCCTGCTTGTGATCTCTCTCTCTCTCTCTCTCTCTCTCTCAAAAAAATATAAATACATAAACATTTAAAAAAAGAAATTTTAGGGGCGCCTGGGTGGCGCAGTCGGTTAAGCGTCCGACTTCAGCCAGGTCACGATCTCGCGGTCCGTGAGTTCGAGCCCTGCGTCGGGCTCTGGGCTGATGGCTCAGAGCCTGGAGCCTGTTCCTGGAACCTGTGTCTCCCTCTCTCTCTGCCCCTCCCCCGTTCATGCTCTGTCTCTCTCTGTCCCAAAAACAAATAAAAAACGTTGAAAAAAAAATTAAATAAATAAAAAAAGAAATTTTAAACATAAAAAGCAAAAGCTCAATTCTCTGTGATCCTTGTGAATCAGCAAAGGGTCCAATTTATTTTTCCTGGACCATTCATTCCAGTAGATTGGAATGGACTTCCCTGTAGGAATTATGGGAATGTCTTCCTGGGGCAGAGGAACACAACAAGACATCCTTACTGGAGGAGGCAGGAGGGGAGATTGGCTATCTCCCATGCACTTTTTCTTCCCGTCTTTTCCCTTCTCAGTTCCTCAACTGCCTTTCTCCATCCCTCCTTCTCTGGCTCCTTTTCCCAGCTCTGGTCTTCCCTGTCCCTTCTTCTTCTTCTTGCTTTTCCATTTTCCTTCTTTCCTTCTTTCCTTCCTCCCTCCAATATCTCCCTTTTCTTGGTAAATCCATAACCCCTTCAAGCTGAAGGTAAAGGAAGATGAAAATCTCCAGCCCACTTAAGAATCCTTGTTTTCTGTGCCCATTTGGTAGAATTGGGAAACATCCACTGTGATCTCAAAACACACAATCTGGGCTAGCTCTTCACTTGGGTAAAAATGGGTCTGCATTCTTCATAACTCAAAGTTCAAAAAAGAAGTTTCAATTATCAAACATTTTTAAAATGTGAAATGATCAAAATAGTAATATACTTATAAAATGTAGGAAGAATTCCATTTCCTTCCTGTAGTTGTTCACTTCATGTCATCAGTTAAATTTGTCACGTTGCTTTCTGGCAGTTTTGTCTTTCTAAATAGACCTGCAATGTCTTCTCCTCGTGTTTTGATATATGTTGCACAATTTGTGGTACATTTAATAAATACTCCATAAATTATGCAACACATATCAAAACATGCCACGTGTGCCCTGGAGTTTACAGATCATAAATTGGCTCTAGTAATCAGAAACACTCTGACCTAGTGTAGGGGTTTGTAAATGCAAGTTTTGAGGTCAAAGTTTTAAAAGGCCATATTCTGAGACGTACAAAATTTCCTGTACATGCGTATGTCATTCCGTGTCTGTTATCAATGTATATACTTTAGCTTTATTTATTTAAAAAAATTCTCTTATTTTGAGAGTAAAGAACCCCAGTAATATTAATAAATATATATTTATGATATACAAACTCAAGAAAAAATAATAAATCCGTGAAAAGGGGTGATGTTCTTAAAATGAAATATTATTTAACCGTAAGTGGCAACCATTTCCCCTAATTAATACTATTACTTTTTCCATTGTATCGAGTCCACACAGACAGCAACTCTTAAACATGCTCTGATTAGTAAGCATGCAGCAGAAAAAGAATCTTCCATTTAATGAAATGGAGCTGGAGGAGGTGCATGGTTTTAATGTTCAATATCTTAAACAAACATAGCCCCAGAGTATATACTAGCATCTTGCAGCCCGTATGCATATTTTTTTAATTTTTTTAATGTTTATTCATTTTTGAGAGACAGAGAGAGACAGGGCATGAGCGGGGAAGGGGCAGAGAGAGGGAGACACAGAATCTGAAACAGGCTCCAAGCTCTGAGCTCTCAGCACAGAGCCTGATGCGGGGCTCAAACTCACGGACGGTGAGATCATGACCTGAGCCGAAGTGGGTGGTTAAATTTCTCCGCCCCCCCAGGCACCCCCCCCCCCCCGTATGCATATTTAATAAGAAAACGAAAGAAGAGAAAATGAAAACACAAGTGTGTTTTTTTTTTCTTTTTTTGAAGCTACAGCTGTTGCCTGTGAGATCTCACAACAGAACAGGCTTTGTCCTCAGTAGAACAAGGAAAGATGCTGAGGACAGCCGGGAGCTGCCCCAGCTAGAGTTGGAGAAAGCACCATCCCCTCTTTCCCCTTCTCCAGAAGCCCCCTTTGTCCCCGCACCCTGCTCTCCCCTATTCTTCCAGAGAAGGGGGAACTGACTTCGAACTTCAGACTCTGTGAGCAGACAAAAGGCTTAGAAACACAGGTCCCGACAGCTGTCTTTCTCCTTTTTTTCTCAACTAAAGCAATTTCTGTAATAACTAACGAGGCCTTGAAGAAAAGGAAATTACACACACACACACACACATACTTCCCCATCACGTGACAAACTTGCTTCTCTGCCTGCTCCCCAACGTTTTTCCTTGCATTTCTCCTTCCCTTGTTTTCTTCCCTTCTTTCTCACCCTCTCCTCTCCTTACCTCCACTTCAGCTGGTAAGTGCTTTGAATTTCAAACAGACAAGTCTAGGAAATTGAAGAATTGCTCTAAAAAGAAAATGATGTGCAGCAGCTTTGCTCCTGATTATTAAAACCCTGTTCTTTGGGGATTGGTATGAGATTGGTATTCATTGTCCAGGATGAATTCTATTTGCCAGGAGTGGCAGCCAACCAAAACTGCAAGTTTTCGCATAATCCTGACTGCTTGCTTCATGCTCAAAGGGAAATGTCAGACAAAATGGATGCGAAAACAGTATGCAAGCAAGTGGAGAATATACTTCAACTTCATCAAAAATCAACTCCTTATTTATCTATTAGGACATTTATAGCATGCTTTGCTACAGAGTTCCATTAGTAAGGGCAGGTTTTATTTCTAAATTAACCCATAGATCTGTGTCAGGCCAATTTCCTTTACTCTGACCTTAAGATTGAAGAATCAGGTATGAGTGTATAATTAATAATGTATGGTTGTAATATCAGACTGATACCTGTTGGAGGCAGATTATCCAAAGGTCGAAAATGGTGCTTACAGGGAGTGCAGTGAGGTATAGACAAAACAACACTATACAAGAAGGCAGGGCACCAAGGTTCCTATCTCAGCTCTTCAGTTCATTAGAAGTGAGTTTGGTCAAGTCATTCCATTTCTCATTTCCTTTCTGCAAAACAAGGGGATTAAACCAGGCTTCTGAGATTTTTCCAGTTCTCACAATCTACTCTTCCTTTGCTGTAGCACAGCTCACATTTTAGTGGGAGACTGAGGCAAGAAAATAGATGATTATAAAATAGGCAAAATATAGACGTGCCTGGGTTATTCCATCGGTTTATTGTCCAACTCCGGCTCAGGTCATGATCTCACAGTTTGTGAGTTTGAGCCCCACGTTGGGCTCTGTGCTGACAGCTCAGAGCTTGGAGCCTGCTTCGGATTCTGTGTCTCCCTCTCTCTCTGCTCCTCCCCCCCTCTCATTCTGTTTCTCTCCCTCACTCAAAAATAAATAAACATCAAAAAAATTTTAATGGGGAAAATATAGAATGTTCTAGAAATAAACAAAAAGTACAGGCAATCTGAATTTAGAAAATCAGGGGCCACATTATATGTAATAATAAGAATAATATTTCATGAGTAAGATTTCCATTTTTTTAGAAATTCTCCCTTTAAAAAAGAATATAATGCTACTGGGCTAAGAGTTAAATGCTCTGGCGATAACATATTAAAAGAAAATTGAATTGAATGCAATAATGATTCCTGGTGCCTGAGTGGCTCAGTCGGTTAAGTATCTGATTCTTGATTTCGGCTCATGTCATGATCTCACAGTTTGTGAGGGGAGTTTGAACCCCACATCCGGCTCTGCACTGATAGCATGAAGCCTGCTTGGGATTCTCTCTCCCTCTCTCTGTCCCTCCTCCATGCTGTTTCTCTCTTTTTCAAAATAAGTAAAATATAAAAAGCATTAAAAAAACTAATGGGTTTGTATGATTCCTGGAATAATACTGTTGGTTGGTTGGTTGTTTTTCATAAATCTATCCATGTATGGAATGGTGTAATAATGTATAAGCTAAAAACTACCTCATGGGAAATGTTAGAAGCAAACATTAACATTGTTTTGAAAACTTTATGTAGTACTCATCTGATCCTTATTAGGTTTGTTTTGTTTTGTTTTTGCCTTGTTACTACTCATCTATTGTGATAAGGAACAATGTCTCTTCCTCTTCACATAAAACATTCTGGTAACTTTTAACTGCAATGTTATTTCTCTCTTGTATAACTGTTCAATACATGTACTTCTCTTCCCAATAGCTACATAATTCATATGCTAATTTAATTTATTTTTTTTTCCTAGCCACAGTCAGAGTGGAAGTGGAGGTAAGCCACAAACTTTTATCAGCAGTTTCTTCAAGTCATCACTACAAGATGCTTTTGTCTGCAAATAATGAAGAAGATCTTTAAGTGGTAGAGAGACCACTGGACTGGAAGCCAATGACCTGGATTCCAGTCCTGGTCACTGAGTGACCCTAACCAAGTCACTTCTCTCTTCCAAGTTTGTTATGGGTCATGGGGTGACTCCATTTCCAGCGTGCCCAGGGCAATCTTAATTTATGCCAGTTGTCTGAGCACAGTTATTAATAGCGTCCCTCTTCACTTTCAGAAGTATCCTTATTTGGATGATAACGTATAAAGACTCCTCATTTGCTCATCACCAAAATAAAGATTTACAGTGCTAAAATACTCATCCTAAAAGTCAGATTTCAAGTTCTTTGTACATATTTCTGCATTGAGGAGGTATTCAATAAACACTTGTTAAATAAATATTTGTCAAACAGCAAGGTTCCTAAGGGTTTACAACAAAGGGTTTAACCCTTAAAATATCACTTTGATTAAATGAACCAGAGCTACTACCAATATTCACAAATTCACCTTTCATTCTATTTGTTTTCCCTCACTTATATCTTGATCAGTATATTTTCCTGAATGTCTCCTCACTATTAATTAAAATTTTCTTACCGCCTCCTCCGTCCTCTTTTCCACAGTATTTAACTCTACACTCTATTCAATTTTATTTTTTTTCTCATATTTATTCTTCCCCATCCCTTTTATCTCCAAAGCTCAGCACTCTTTCTACATTTACTAAATTTCATCTCTAAGAATTCCTTTAAAAATATTCAACAAAAAAATTCATTTACCTATTATCTATGTGAGAATAGGAACGTAAAGTTATTTTTTAGTTACATGGTTATTAAGAAACTTTTTCTGCAGTTAAATAAGGCGGATTTACTATCAAATTTGAGTGACTATTACCTGACAAAATTATAAAATTAACAGAAGATTCTCTTCCCTTGGCCAATCCACATGAAGGGATGTTCCCACCTCCCCCAGATGATGATATTTACGATGGGATCGAAGAGGAAGATACTGATGATGGGTAAGAATAATCAGTGAATTGCTTCCTTGTAAATTTTTGGATACACTGAAAGTTAATGTTGATTTCTGGTTAGAATAAAAAGCAAAATATAGTGTTCCTTATTATAACACCAAAAATTATTTGAATGTTTAATTAATAGCAGTCCTAAGTCAGAAAGTATAATTGCACAACACTTCAGATGAAGTGGTATATTGTTTGAAAGAACCCCAACAAAAAAAGAGAAATGAAAAAGGAATAAAGAATTACCAATGCTGTAGATTCTTTTTCAAACTTTTCCCAATCATTTATTTATCAATCAGTAATCTCTGGAGAGCTTATCTGATGCATGGCTATCCTCCATATAATGATCATAGTTACAGGCAATCCAAATGCACTGAGACCATCTGCTATCTGTGGCAAAACCAGCATAAGACTTAATTCTGTACTTGCTTCAACTTTTATGATGGCATATTTTAAATTTTAAGATCTGTTAATTACTTAATTTTAAACATAACATAAAGCAAAATTGATGTCTGAAACTTAATTTTGACTTAGCTTTCTATTTTAAAACCAAAAGAAATTTCACTAAATAGAAAAAAAGTAACTTGCCTACTACTTAACCTAGCACAGCAGTATTCAAAGACTGAGGCCTATAAACCTGAAAGCATCATCTTGTTGATTACAATGAGTAACTTACTGCCTGAATGATCAATGCAGTATAGTTATAAAAAATCTGAATGTCCACCCAATGTCTTCGTGTTCCGCTGATTATTCCATTCTGATCAATGCCTGCATGCTCCTAAGCTCCATACTACAGGTTGAAGAGAAGAGTAATTCGTGGTCCTGGGGGATTTTGAAGATGTTAAAGGGAAAAGATGACAAAAAGAAAAGTATACGAGAGAAACCTAAAGTCTCTGAGTCAGACAATAATGAAGGTTCATCGTAAGAGTCAACCAACCAAATCCAGTGCACAATAACTACACTAATATTAATTTAATCAAATGCTACTAATATTTTATAACCAATAACCAAATTCTGACAGGCTTAAGTCATTTCAATGTTATTTTCCATTAGTCATCTGAGCCTTATTTACTGTGTCACCCTTACACTCAGACATTTACAGAAGAGCACAAAGTCTTCAAAAATCGTCATATGGTTCAAAGATATATTTTGCTTTCCCTACAAACATGCACAGATAATACACACAAATGAACACACACACACACTCATACACATACACTCCATTGAGTAGGACTTTTTTTTAACTGCAGCGTCATATCTAAATGCTCACAATTCCAATGCCACGTTATATAATATAGTGACTACTCTTCAAAATATACATTCTCTTTTAAAAATTAGTTTTCTGGAAATAAGGATGCAATTTGGAATTTCTTTTCTCTAAATACAGTATTTAAAGTGTTTGTAGTTAAATTTAGAGTCTCCATATTTCATTACAGTCTTTCTAAAATGTTAATTCCACATAGAATTCCTCATTATAAACTCTTTTGTGAAACCTAAAACAACAGTTAGTGAACAGGACACTCAAAATTATAAGTAAACATAACAAATCCTCTTTTTTTAAATAAATCCTCTCTTGATGCAGAATTATTCAAATGCAGACATTACTTAGAAATAAAAGCAGAGATTATTTTCCCTGCTCCACCTGCACATTCCTAATTTTGATTTTAAATCATCTGAACTAATGACCTCTCACACTTCAGTGTAACTGTGCACCATTCTTCCAATAATGTGTGTTTATGTGTGTGTTTAAAGTTCAAAAAGTAATAGAAGCAAAGGTCTTTTTCTGTTGCAACTAAATGCCACCCAGTCCTAATTTCAGATCACTTCTATTAATAAGCTCCCCCTCTCTAGTTTCGGTGGATATTCCTCTCTTATTCACCATTCTCCTGTTTGGGTACATATATTGGGAAAACGTGGTCATGCAAAGAGTCCTATGACCTTTGTTGATTTCAGCTCTCTATTTTTACTCCTTTAGTCAAATAAAAGCTTTTGGCCAGAGCTATGCCACGATGACTCCAAAACACTGAGTCCATTTATTTTACTCTGATGTGATAATATGCCCAAACCTCATAGGACAAATCTGAAAATACTGGTCCAATGGCCATGGGCAAAATAAACCACTGAATGTCTTGACTGTTGACTTTTTGGCCACCATTGGAGTTTAAAAAAAAAAAAAGTCTCATGAAATTCCAAATTGATGGACAGAAACTGAAACTCCGTGGAAAAATGGAGGATGAGAAAGGAATGATAGTCAATGGATGAATTGGCCTTTATAAGCCTCCGGGCTATTACTTGTTCAGGCCTATCCCTAGATAAAGGACTCAATTTCTGTGTTTAGATTGGTCTGATTATAACTGTGTTCTCATTTTCTTTCCAGTTTTCCTGCTCCTCCTAAACAATTGGGTAAGTAACAAAAATTAAGTATATATTTTATATCTCTTTTTTTGCAGATAGGGTGGTGGGAAGGCACTGGATATAGTCATGGTGTCTGGATTAAAGTTCTGACTCTGGAAAAAATAACTTGTGTAAAGCTGTCAAGTAACTGCTCCACAGTTCTTCAACAGTGAAAGAGTGGGAAGAGGAGAATTTTTCATCTTGATGGTTTTTAAACAGTTCACCCAGTCATAGGGGTCACGAAGGAGAAATAAACAAGTGGGCAGGGATGGACATCGATATTTCCCATCTCTTATCCACCCCAATTCAGTAGAGCTTGATATATTGGGCCTCTGAGCAATGATTTCTAAAAATATACCAGATTATATGCCACCAAGGCCCTTCTAAATCTAAATTTCTTTGTTTTTTTTTAAATGTATCATTTATATTGTATTTGGAAATTCTTCCACTGCTAAATATAAAACAGTTTCTTCTTTGTACAGTTTCCGTCAGCGTATTTTTTTAATTTAAAGATCTGAGACACACAGATAATCTTTTTCCAAACTGGTTATCTGACCTCGTGTTCAGTTGTCAATATGAAAGTATGTAAGGCACTAATAAAAGTTTATCAACAGCTGATAATGAGCTTATATCTTAATGTATAATTTTCAAAAAGCATTCAAGTGGGGTGCCTGGGTGGCTTGGTCAGTTAAGCGTCCGACTTCGGCTCAGGTCATGATCTCACGGTCCGTGAATTCGAGCCCCGCGTCGGGCTCTGTGTTGACAGCTCAGAGCCTGGAGCCTGTTTCAGATTCTGTGTCTCCCTCTCTCTCTGCTCCTCCCCTGTTCATGCTCTGTCTCTCTCTGTCTCAAAAATAAATAAAAATAAACGTTAAAAATTAAAAAAAAAAAAAAAGCATTCAAGAATCTTAGCTCCACAAAGGATAGGTATAAAATGAAACAAATGTGATCAGTTAAGTAAAAACTATGTTTTTTTTTTTTCATTTTCTTTTGTTCTCAAGTGTGTTTTAAGTGCATGTGCATGGAACAGTAATATTTCCCGTTCTGGAAACCAATGATATGTCATATTTTTATATATTAATTATGGATTCTTCACATAGCTGTGAAATTAATTACCTGAGGCGGGGGGAATACACACACAGACACATGTGTGTGTAGTATATGTATATACCATATATGTATATACTCTCTACATTACAGATAGAGGAGGAATTCTTAAAGGAATTTAAATCCTTGCCACTAGCAGAGAGCATTTAAACTTTCTATGATAATCATTCCTTAAAACATTTTACTCTCTTCAACTCATCTCTTCAGCTTAATTTGCTGTGGAGCAACTCAATAGGTACAAAGAGGAAGCAATCCTCCTGACTTTATTAACAAGAGCTCTAGAAGGAAGAAAAGTATCTATGGATTGGAAAAGCCATTGTACTAGTTAAGGTCATTGCCACTTTTCCACCAATACTGGTTCTCAATACCTGCTGGTACCAGCTCTGTCTTATTAACAGAAATATTCTTTCTATTTTAAGGTGATACCACACCTAATATTGCTATAAATTAAAAGTTAATAAGGATGGGGCGCCTGGGTGGCGCAGTCGGTTGGGCGTCCGACTTCAGCCAGGTCACGATCTCGCGGTCGTCCGTGAGTTCGAGCCCCGCGTCAGGCTCTGGGCTGATGGCTCGGAGCCTGGAGCCTGTTTCCAATTCTGTGTCTCCCTCTCTCTCTGCCCCTCCCCCGTTCATGCTCTGTCTCTCTCTGTCCCCAAAATAAATAAACGTTGAAAAAAAAAATTAAAAAAAAAAAAAACGTTGAAAAAAAATTTTAAAAGTTAATAAGGAGCAAGCAGATCAGTGAATAAAAAAGAATGATACATGGATGGATAGATAAATAGACAGACAGATGGACAGATAGACAGGCATAGACAAAGACACACATATAAATAAAATAATATATATTATCTTAGCATTCTAAATCCCCTAGGAATCATGATTTCAATCTCTATTGCCTACTGCCAATGGGCTGTAATATTGATTTGTTTGTCAGCAATCTACTTATCTTCCATTCATCACAAGTGTGGATCTTCAAATAATCTCAGTCACTGTTTTGGGGGGACTTATCCTGGTGATGCTAGTTACAACCATGGTCACTGGCTTTCTTGAGGGAAATTTAACAGAAGCATCTAGGGAGAGAAAAACCTCTCCCTTTGAAGGAGTAGACACTGCCTCCAGGAGAAATGTACAGAGACCCCAGGGAAACTTCTTTTGTTGTCTTTGAAAGAAAAATCTTTATTTTTATTTTATTTTTTTTTTTTTTATTTTTTCAACGTTTTTTATTTATTTTTGGGACAGAGAGAAACAGAGCATGAACGGGGGAGGGGCAGAGACAGAGGGAGACACAGAATCGGAAACAGGCTCCAGGCTCCGAGCCATCAGCCCAGAGCCTGACGTGGGGCTGGAACTCACGGACCGCGAGATCGTGACCTGGCTGAAGTCGGACGCTTAACCGACTGCGCCACCCAGGCGCCCCTGAAAGAAAAATCTTTAAATTAAAAACATGACTGAATGTTCATATCAGAATTCAAACTGGGGTCCCTGGCTGGATCAGTCAGTAGAGCATGTGACGCTTGATCTCGGGGTCATGTTGGACGTAGCACCTACTTAATTAAAAAATAATAATAATAATAATTTTAAAACTTCAAACCTAAAGTGTTTCAACATTTGGTATTTTGTCTTTTGTTAGACATGGGAGATGAAGTTTATGATGATGTGGATGCGTCTGATTTCCCTGCTCCACCAGCAGAACTGAGGTAATTAAAATGTCCTCATTTTGAGACAAATCAGACTGCTCCAGAAAATTCAACTAGAATAAAACCCCAGTGGGTTATGGATCTCCTGTGTTCGCTCCTGTTTGCTCTGTCCTCTCTCTGATCCAAGCTCTAAGGGTTCTGCTCCATTTGTGGGTGGAGAGCCCTGATCCCCCTTCTCCTTTCTCCTCCCTTGCTTTTCCCTCTTCCCCCCCCCCACTCCCAGTAGTTCGGCTGCTGGTCCCCTGATTATCCCCTGCCCTGTGACTCACTGATGTCTGCACTCATTTATTCATTCAAATATTCATTCACTGGGGAAATATTTGAGAGCCTGATCATGATTGATCTCACCAATTCATCTCCTCCCTTTATTTTTACCCTTTTCCTAAAAGCTTTTTGTCTTGAATGCACTTCTTAGTTTATGTCTCAACCCTCACCTAACTTCTTCAAATCTCTTCTGTCCTCCACAAGATTTTTTTCCTTTTATGAAAAAAAATGATTTGTGTTTTAAAAGGACTTTGTTATGTCTCTTTTTCACAAAAGCATCAGATTCTCAAAGGTTCCATTCAAATTAAAAAAAAAAAAAAACTGTTCAAGGTGAATAGTGACATTCTTCAGCTCACCTAAGGTTTCAGTTTCATTTTAGGCTAAAACTGTATGAAAATATGTTAAGATCAGTTAGTACAAAAGGAGTCTCTTTTGAAACTTCTTTTGAGGGGCGCCTTGGTGGCTCAGTCGGTAAAGCGTCCGACTTCAGCTCAGGTCATGATCTTGCGGTCCATGAGTTTGAGCCCTGCATCGGGCTCTGTGCGGACAGCTCAGAGCCTGGAGCCTGCTTTGGATTCTGTGTCTCCCTGTCTCTCTGCCCCTCCCCCACTTGCACTCTGTCTCTGTCTCTCAAAAATGAATAAACGTTAAAAAAAATATTTAAAAAAAATTAAAAAAAGAAACTTCTTTTGAAATAGGAAATAACATGGTAAGATTTTTCTATATTCCAATAAACACAAGCGATGAGCTGATACATACTGTGTATGAAAGCAAGAACATGTCTGTAGCTTTCTCAGGAAAAAAGGATGAATAAAAAGGTCTTGGCCTTGATTAAAGGCCGAAAGTGACATAAACGGGTGACAATACATAGCGTCTTCTAAGCTATGCTGCAAGAGTGCATGAGCATGTATTCATTTAGCATTTATTTTTTACCAACACCGTTAAGCTAATTTTACTGAATGAAAGTTTCAAGATCAAAGAAACTGAAGGGAGAATACGTTATCATTTCTATGTGAAGATCAGGTTCCACAGGCAAAACAAACATGTAAGATGAAAAGAGAATTGTTCTCCTTTTTTCTGGAAGGAAAATCTCATCTTCTTCAGTGATATGTTCGGTTTGAAAATTCCTCACCATTGGGAAGTCACTTCTATCCCTGACATTTTTAAATGCATTTTTCTGTTTTATATTCCTGTAAAAATGCCACCACATTCCATTAAAGAGCTCTCTAGGTACCTGGTTATGCACTGGACCTTTTCTTCAAGTAGAATAAACCCCAGCTGGTTAAACTTGATGTGATAGGTACCGTTCTCTTTACTGCTGCTTATTTTCAGACTTTAAGACTATTTTATGTTCTCTAACAGAATATTCTATTTTTAGCTAAATCTAAATTTCAGTAAGGTATTTTCAAAGAGAGCTCACGGGGCATTTTGAACACTCGTGTATGTCCTGATGGCTCCAAAGTGCTGATTTAGGACAGCAGTTCCACTACTGCCCAGAGGACCATAAGACAGGAGAAACTGAGGAAGGATACAGAACCCAAGGAAGGATAATGTGCTAATCCATTTCACAGAAGATAAACTAAATCCCAAGACTCAAAAGTTAAAGAATCAAACATTTTCAATAAATCAGTTGCTAGATTTATTTTAGGTAAGCTAGATAATAATTAATATCAGTGTTTAGAATTTTTCATTATACACAAAAATTCTGATTTTAAAATTCCCTCCTTCAGAGATTCCCAACCTTTCCCTAACATAGACATTCAGCCCTAGCAAATGTCCCTCAACCTTGGTTGCAAATTACTATTACCTGGGGAGCTATAAAGTATGTATGTCAGTATCTAGACCTCACTCAGTTCTACTTAATTAGAATTTATTTAATTTAATTAGAATTTCTAGGAATTAGACATAAGTAGTGGTACTTTTTTAAAACTTCCAGGTGATCCCATATGTGTCCAGGCTGGAGAATCACTATCTTAGGCTTCTTCACCCTTCTAATGACAACCAGCTGGAGTCCATTTGGTGTCTATGAGATGCCAACCTGGCTCCATTTTAAGAAGATATGAAAAACGGCTCAAGAAAATTCAATAGAATTGTAAACTTTTTTATTTTTAAATAGATAAACTTTTCAAGACATAAAAATCAATTTTTTAAAAAACATTATTTTTCAAAAAGTCTCTTCTATGACAGTGGCCAGGCCACTTAATTACCTAGGAAGGGCTGAAAATATATAGGGAGTTTGACGATAGGCTGAATTATATGGAACCTCTGATGTGTAAGCATGTTTACACTATACCTCAGTCATTTCAATGGTTCAACATAACTAATCACTACTTCCACTTTAACTATATTCTTGGGAAGAATCTCTTCCGTGTATGAAGTATTATCATTTACTACAATGAATGTACTAGATTTCTAAGAAAAGGAACCAACTAAAAACAAAATTGAACAAAATTGTTAAGTGATGGATGAAGTCTTTATTGTACGCTATTCTTTTCAAAGTAAACTAAGTGTTGTTTTATGTGTGTTCTGCCATCTTAGTCAAGGAGCCAAGGCTAAGACAGAAGAAAAAGACCCCAAGAAGCTAAAAAAGCAGGAAAAAGAAGAGAAAGACTTCAGGAAAAAGTTTAAAGTATGTCATATTTTAATAGTAGACAAAGTACAAAATGCTAACGAAAAAAAAACAATGACTTTTAAGTACCACAATGCACTTATTAAAAGTGTAATTATAAAGGCACCTGGGCGGACCAGTCAGTCGGGCGTCCGACTCTTGGTTTTGGCTCAGGTCATGATCTCACGGTTCATGGGTTCAAGCCCTGCGTCAGGCTCCATGCCAAGAGCATGCTAAGAGCATGGAGCCTGCTTGGGATGGTCTCTCTCCCTCTCTCTCTGCTGCTCCCCCATTCATGCGAGCATTCTCTCTCTCTCTCTCAAAATAAATAAACTAAAAAAAAATTTTTAAGTGTAATTATCAATATGAGCTATCCATCCTAACTCCTTTATTTACTACAAAATTTACTTTAGATTTTAATTTATTTTATAACAAATTAAGTGAAGTCTCATGCATGCACTATATATGCTGCAATAATCATTTACATTTAGTTGTTCTTTGAACTTTAGTAAGAGGATAATCTAAAACTAGAATGGATAAAACAAAGATATGATGTATATGTAACGGAATACTAATTAAGAAAAAGAAGGAAATCCTGCCACTGTGACAACCCTAAGGGCCTTATGCTAAGTGAGATAAGTCAGACAGAGAAAGACAATACTCTATAATATCACTTATATGTGGACTCTTCAAAGGCCAAACTCACAAAAACAAGGTACAGTGATAATTACCAGAGGCTGGGGTGGGCGGATGGAGGAGATATTGGTCAAAGGGGTACATACTTTCAGTTATGAGATGAATGAACTTTAGGGGTCTCAGGTATAGCCTGGTGATTATAGTTAGCAATACTGTCTTATATACTTGGAAGTTGTAAAGAGAGTAAATCTTAGGTGTTCTCACCACAAAAAGTGGTAATCATGTGAAACGATAGAGGTGTCAGGTAAAGCTACACTGCTAATCATTTTGCAATATATGAGTGTATCAAATCAACACACGTGTACACTTAAAATTTTTTTAATTTTAAAAATAATGATTATATTAGTTTCATGAGATTATGAGTGGCTTTTCTCTCGAAAATTTTTCTGTAATGCTTTTACGTTATTTTTTGCTTGTTTGGCAAAGACTTTTTTTTTTTTTTTTTTTTTTTTTTT